TACACAATGTAAAACCTAACCTGTAACCAAAAGTGGTTGTAAGTATTCAGGCTAACCATAAACATTTTAAATAGCAGACCTAAAAGCTATATTATTCCACTTTATGCATTTATCTTTCAATTTTTCTAATCTCAATCAGTCTTGCCTAGCAAAAACCTTTCTGCGAGTTAAAGGTATCAGCAAATATTCAACTTTTAATTTTTTAAATTATATTTTTCTTCAAGTTTTACTACAGTTAAATGATTCCTGAAACTCTTAAAAATTATTTTTAGTATCTTCATGTACGAGATTAAACAGAAATTTAGCTTCAATGAGGCTAAAATAAAATTATTCATAAAATTTATTTATTTAGTTGTTGTTTTAGCAAAAAACTACATAATAGACTATTTGCATTCTGTCTACTATGGGGAATCAAACCCTGGATGTTAGCAATGTAATCCCATAAACTTTTTGCTGACACACTTATAACTACTATTAACATTAAGATTTAAGACAACATAAAATGATATGCATTCATAAAGAACAAAAGCCACACAACACTTGAACTATAATGGTATGATGCTGATATAATGTGTTCTATTTAGGAACAGGTTATTTTGGCTTAATTGGTAAAAATAATATTAAGTCCAGTTCATGTTAAGATAATGAATTAAGTTTTTTGTCAGTAACATTTCTACAGCCACGTTTACCTGGAGGCCTTATTTCATAAGTAAACTTTTCAAGAGAAACTCCACAAATAAATGTAGGCCTAACTTCTGTTTCAATATATATTTCAAGATGTAAGCCTAATGTAATCAGTTTTAATAGATAAACAACACATAACTTAGTAGGGCAATTCCATGACAGAAGGCTTTAATCACTAAATATTAAATTTCTATAAAACTACATGAAAGTTTCACCGTTAATGTAAAACATATAGAATTTGGTTCCAAAACCAATTTTCATTGCTGTTGGTTCATTTTCTTGAAAATAGCAATTCTATTGGAGTGCATTTTTAGCATTAGAAAGAAGGGAAAAAAAAAGCTTCCATTGCAAACCATTCCCTCCAATTCTAGTTACTCCTTTTTTGCTAATTATTTTAGTTAATGAACTCTAAAACTGAAATGCAGAAAACAATTCTACTGTAAATTTCATACTTTGCCTTGGGTGATGACATATTTTCATTGATTTTGTCTGTAATTCTGTTACCAAAAAGAATCATAAAAGTTTTCCTGTGGGGTAACTATTGGTTGGAATTAAAACCTACTTAAAATGCTCTTATTAGATCTATTCAGTAACCTGTCAGATCACTCACTTTTAGCAAGCCTTCTCTGATCTTGTAGAAATCCTGGTAACAGAATTACGGTAACAGAAGTATATAGGGTTTTCTCTTGCTGTGTAAGCTTACTGTAATAGAACCTAATTCACTCAATTCACAATTCTGGCACCAGAGATCAGGGCTGATAATTAAAGCATTGTTGTAGTTTAACTTCACTGTACATAATAGAGTGCAACAACAGTTTCCTATTTCCAGAAAGTTCCATGCCATGCTCCTCAAGACAAAGGACAAACTATATCTGCTCAAGTTTAAATCACACAACATTCGGTCATAAGGTGAGTAGACACACCAACACATCAAGTAAATATTCAACAGAACTATATAGAAATGTTTTATTGATAAATTGTTGTACAGATTCACTGAAAATCTCACCACAAAAAGTCAGAATGAAATTCAGTCTGCATATTGGGCTTACAATTCAATGGTGATAGTTTCTGATTACCTGCAACACAACAAATATGCAGTTAACATCTTCCTCAGGGCCATCAAATAACATTTAGATTCAACTGTCCACCTAGTTTTACGAATAGTTGTTTTTTCCGATGGTTCATCAAATCAGTTCAAACAGTGCTTCCTTCTCTCAAACACCACACTGTTAAACAGAAATATAGAGTGGAATTTCTTTGCCACTTCTCATGGCAAAGGTCCAGTAGATGGCACTGGAAGAATTACAAAAAAATTGATCTCCTCAGAAGAGACGTCTGGCAAAGAAGAGTTAACAGCATCTAATGAATTCGCTGAGGTTGCTGCCAAGAAATGCCAAAATATTCAGATAAAACATATAAGCAATGTTAAGGTTGAGTCAGAAATCAAAAAGCTGCATGATGATTGAAATGAAATAACTCCCATCCCTAACCTAAACCATGTACAGTCACTGTGGTTGCACCATTTGTCATCAATGTGCAGCACCATGCAAATTCTCCTCACACAAGGCACACTTTAAAAGTGCTGATGGTGATCACATTGATGATGATGGTGAAGAAGGCAACACAGTGAAAAGGGATGTTACAGCCAACCTTGACAACAAACCAGAAGCCTTGCCTTAAGATCTTAACTTGAAGTGGGTTGTTGTCAGATACTCTGTCCTGAGGAATGTCAAGAAATTTGGTGGCCAGGTTCTTGAAACTCAAGAAAACAAAGTCACCATCCAGTTCTTGAAAAACTTGGAATTTGGCAAGTTTGTCTGGCCTGATATTGATTATGTAGATTCTCTTGAGGGGTCCTGTGTAATCAAGGTATTCAATGAACCACAGATGGATAGATGTTCAAGAATTGCCTTTTCAGGTGGAGTTCAGTTGGCCTAAGTGCATGTACATAAATCTGTTGTCTTTTCTAAGACACACACTAGCACTAGGCTTGAAGTAGCACAAGAATAGCAGAATACAGTTCTTTGAGCACATAGGTGTAAGAACAAATATTCTGAGGTGGTATTTAATGTATTATTAACATATATATATTCATACAGGTAATTCCATTACCATGTCATGTAATTCTGTTACCAAACTATACTTGCTAAGTTTAAACAAACAGTGTATATACCAGAACCAAGCCTCCTTCCATGAATTAACCACCACCTATGTCCATTTTGTAATGCCAGCCATCAGATCCAGTTGGCTACTAGATTCAGATGGAATGTCATGACATTTGTTAGAAACCAATTTTGAAATTTTCTATGTAATTCCATTACCAAAATAAAATCATAATTTCATCCCTTTCTTAGAATATTTTTATGAATACAACTGTTTATTATAGGGAAGAGTTTGTACTTCCCCAGCCTACTCAAGTTGTTCTTCAAGGCACAAACTGAGCTTCAGCATTTGTAATCAAATTCCAAAAATTGTTATGAGTTGTAATTCCATTACAGTGGAATTGTCCAGTAACAAAATAGCAGTTTAGATGTATAAATCTCATCACTGATACTGAGTAAGTTTTCTGATACTGAACTGACTATCATTTAATAGTCATACTTATATCAAAACCTATTCACTTCTTAACTTTCATGAACATAATCTTAATGTTATCATAATCATGAGCTCCCTCTAGCAAACATCTACAGAAAAGTATTAGAAATTTAGCTAACAACAATATAAAAATAACTGAGCTTGTATGAATGCAGAGGTACAATTTTCTATTTGGTTTTCCTACAGTACAGACAAAAACCAATGCCCCCATTGGATTTAGCCATATGTATATTCATTATTAATAGATATAATTAAACATATGAAAGTTTTAGAATTTAAAGCCATACATAAAGTACATGCTTTCCAACAAAGCTAGCAAAAAAAAACATGTTTGAGACTAATGGCAATAAATTAGCAATCCAAAATACCACATTACTTTTGGATCACTGTGTTATTTCACTGGACATGTCACCGAAAACACAAGCATAATTACTACCATACAACTAATATGCATTATGTTTTCTTCCAACTGACTTAATATAAGTATCCACTGTGTACATACTAACCTTGAAAGTCATTCAGTAATCAAGAGCACCCAGCATTTTAGCAAAATGGTCCCAGATTCATCTGTCTTTTTCTCATAAATGTTATATGACTAATGTGATTTAGAATTATAGTTTGTTGTAAAATACAAATTATATAAATAAACACTATATTGAAAAAGAACAACAAATTACTTTTATTGTTTTTACAAAAGCATATTTTCTACTTCAATTAATAAATGTACATTTGATAATTAACAACTAGCTTCACATGAACAACAGAGAATATGATAATAATAGTTTTTACAATTATTTAACAGTTCCGTTCCATTTTAATTCTACAGTGAAAAGTTTATTTGATGCTGTTTAAGAGACATTCTAAATGACAAATAATGATACAAGCTCTATCCACCTATCAATTTGGATAGTGTTTTCAACTGCTAGCTTAGACCTGTGATATCTTCTTTAGTGTCACCTCTAAGTCTAACCAACAAAAGCGAATAGAGAATGTTACATTACTCAAAGTATTTTCTTTATCAACAATATTAAGTAATTATTATACTGTCTCTATTGAAAATGTTGATATAGTTATATGCAGTTCAAAAATGGGTAGGAAATTATCAAAGTTATAGTTATTCAAACTACTACAATTTTTAATAACATTACTTCCTAAAGATTTATTAAACACTTAAAAACACCTGTATGTAATATACTGAGGAATATCATATTTAATTTATTTCAAAAGTGTCTATATTAGTTTAAAATAACAATAATAATCTCTGTAACACCCCAAATGTTAATAGTTAAAATACTCAATACCTTTCCTGAGTATCACAACAGTGATGTTACAAATCTCAGGTTGAATTTCACAGCAAATTTCAGACTTATCTTTTAATAATTAGCCACACTTACTTCAAATCAAGATATAAAGTCCAAGTCTTCAAACCATAAACAACTTTACAAAATAATCAAAATTCTACCTCAGATTAAGTATATTGATACATATAAAGTACATATGAAATCTTTAAAAAAAATTTTACTGCATTAAGATTAAATTAGGTTATATTTAAAGAATAGACATTTCAAACACTTCTCATTAAAACTAGTAAACCATCTAACAAAAATCTGAATACATAAAATTTATTACTACATCTTCAGCAGAGCTTTTATGATTTTCTTTTAGTTTCAAGTTGCAATAACATTTATTATTTTCTTGGGACTCAAAATTTATCATTGCAGTTAGCAGGGTTAATCACTGATTTTATCAGAATTGCTTTCATTGTTAACCAACATATATGCTTACACTAAAACAATCTACAAACTGCTATTATGAACTATGTTAATAAGCTCATTTGAAAATATTATATTTTCTCTTTTTTATTTAATATGCATATGATTTTATCTAGAAAGATAGAGTACAGGTGAACTCCAGAAATGCAGCACTATGTTAGAAGACATATTGGAGATCCAAGTTAAAACTATTTAAACCTTACTAATGCAGTATCACGTGTAGATGTTATTTCTATAGAGAGAACCTTTATACAATTTTATGATAACATTTTTTATGAAGTGTAATTATACATATACATATAGTTTAAGGTTATATTTTTATTAATGCATATTTCAGAAAACAAATATTAAAAAATTAAAAATATATACTGATAAATAAAGCTTCCAAAAGCTTCAAGCTTACTTTACCCACACAGAAATACTCAATACTACCATGTGCCATATTTTCTTAAGTCTCATGAATAATTAATTAGATCTTTCACTACAGATCATTTGAATCTTTGTAATTCTGGTCAACTCACCTGCCATTTGAAAGCGTTTAGAATACTGTTAGAAGTGCAAAAACTCCATAAAGTAATGCACAAGGATAGGCAACCAAAGGCTGCTGATGATCCATTACCAGTGCTGTTGCAAATAATTTTGAAGCTGACAAAGCACACCAAAGCACAACCAAAATGGCTATAACTGTACCCAAAGTTCCTTTTAATGAGAAAATTATTGAGACTCCTGATAACATCACCATTGGAAGCAAACAGTAGCCAAGAACACTAACAGTACATCCAACTGAAATACCCGACATACTCATCATATTCAAAAGAGCATACATTGCTAAACATCCTAACACACCTATTCCATAAATATACCCAAAATGAACTTTTCCAGTTAACAGTAAAAATACACCAAATGCCATACAAAATACGAGAGGTCCGGCCAGATCAGTTTCCTGCAAAATGGAAGCTTCAGGTTCTTTAATGGGATTCAAAACTGCTAAAGTTTTTTGCATAATGTGATCAAAATTAATGCCTAATTCTTCAAGAAGAGGTGGTTCATCTTCGAAGTTGTCTCCACTTCCAATATATGGGCTAGGCATTGGATCTGGAGTCAGAATACTGCCAGAATATAATCCACCTGCAGGATTTATGTAATTTGAATTAGGAGGTTGTATATACCCTCCCATGTTCATTCCTCCCGGGACAGTTGGTTGTATAGATGGGCTTGGGTTACTGTAATCAAATGATCCAAATTGTGGTTCTGTACCAAATTCGCTTCCTCCCATTTCATATTCAGAACCGTAAGTGTAACTAACCGGGCTCGAAGGAAACTTATTGTCCCAGTTGTAATTTTCAGCATAGGCATCTTCCCTATGTCTGTGCCCTGACATGACCAGGTTATATTTATGTTCTAATGATATAAAAACAGATAAATGAAAACCTTAAAAACTTTATGATCATATATCTAATCAAATTTCCAGATTAATCCCAATTAGAACTTAGTCACGCTTGCTTTTTTAACTTAAGCCTAAACATAAATATTGGAAGTCAGAACAGCGGGAGTTATTACACTGACTTCGTCAAGTGTCAACGTAATACTACGATAAATTTCAAAACAACTTAATTACAATTTAAATAGCTTAAAATGCTCTTAGGCAAAATTACATGTATGTTTTAACTTATTCACAATATAAGTTTACACGTCATCTAGAAACAAAAAAGTCACTACTGACAGGCCACAGTGCCACCTAGGTACTCCTTTAAAAGTGTGTTAATAACTTGAGTGATTATTAAATAAGGTGCTAGAAACCAGCTTTTGATATCCTTGACGGGCACGGCACAGGTAGCCAATTTTGTAGCTTTTGGGCTAAACAACAACAAATTAACAAAATTAAATAAAGCTTGAAATCATTGTATTGAAAAATATGAACGGAGTTCTAGACTCAATTTATAAACATTTAACAAAAGAGCCAAAAAGAAAGAAGGTTATTCTCACTAGATCATGAAGCTCTAATGAGTATTCAGTTTGATGTATCGTGTCAACTGTTTGAGTTCCTTTATTATATTGATGTTGAAAAGGTGCTCAATTGTTTAAAATTGGTATAAGCTAACGTAACATGTGGTATGCAGGCATATTATACATTTTCTATGTTCTTATTTTCATGTAGTATTGTTCAAAGTTTTCATGCTATTCTGATATGTGTAATCATAAAAGTCTTTAAGTTACTTTTATTCTAGCTGCCCTTGTCATTTTCTCTAGATAACACCAAGTGTTTCTATGAAAGGAATGACTGTGAAGCTGCATCCTATGTATGAAATTCGACAGCAGTGTCCTCCAATCGTAGATCAGGTGATGCTTTAATGTTACGACTACATTTGTGAATGAGAATGACCAGTCACATGAGATAGAGATTGTTCATTGTGCTTTACATTGTGTCCAGTATCTTTATTTTATTCAAAATAAACTTACTTATCCCACCACTTTAAGGAAACTGCATTTCACCTGAAAATACCACAGAATGGACAGGAAGGAGAAACTTTTGCTGTTGTGAAAACATGATATTTTACTGTGTAACATTTTATTTTAAGCTAATTTGTTGATCACCCTTTACTCTACTTGTATTATTAAATTCAAAAAAGCGCAATTTTTGAAAAATGGCATTTTCTACAACCCAAAGGGCTTATTTATGACCATGAGGGAGAGTCAATCACTGAAGGGAGACTGTTATCTAGAAGAAGTATTCACCTCGATGTCAAACTTTTCCTAATACTGCCAAGGATCATGACTTCCATGTTATTGCAACCACAAACTCAGGATGGAGAGCTGTTGGTATCGGGTGCACACAGAACAGCTTTTCACAAATTTCCCATGAGGATCGACCACAGCGTAAATAAAACATAGATGACTTAAGATCATGTGTGGACTCACAAACCTTCATCAGCTAGAGTAATCTAACACCACCTCTGATTTATGCCATCCAGAAACGGCCAAGAGAAACTGGAGGTGCAGCTGATGAGTAATGTCCACCAGCAGGAGCTATATTACTGGCAGATGAAATTGCAGGCATCAGATGATGAAGTTGGTGAGCCATGAAGTAGTAACGAGCCTCTCTCAGCTGAGAGATATAGTTCTGGGGTGATCGTGGATTGTGGAGGAATCTAGGGTTGGACATAGTTAACAGACAAATTGTTGATCTGGTGGAAAACAGAGCACTCAATCAGACCAATTTCAAGACTCAGAAGAGGGACATCACAGAGGGCTTGGCTGCCTATGTGAATGAACGGTGCCGTCTGCACAATAAAGCCTATCTTTCATTACCTTTGGCAGATCATGAAAATATCTTTGTTGACAGGTACATGAAAAGGCTACATAGTGAAATGATGAGGCGCCAATTTGGTGTGAGAAATCTTCTCACACTTGCCAAGGAGTTTCTGTAGTGCTCTGGTAGGAAGTAATATCTTAACACTAATTGCGAGAATGAAAAAGTCTACATCAACAACTGCAGTGGTGTTCCCTAGAAAAATTATCCCAGCTAGACACCCACATTGCATTATGCTCGAGTCTATCCGAGAGTTAATTAATCATCTATACACCCTGGTGCTGTGATGCATCTACACTAGTACCCAGTGAATAAACAGGGCTATCCCAGTCCTCGCATGGTTTGTATGCCACAGCCTATACTACTGGTACCTCCATACAGGCATTATTTTGGAAAAACAAAGCACAAAGTATTTGCTTTATCTGTGGAACGTTGGGACACTTTTCAAGAATTGCTTGTACCATAAGCAAGATAGACAAAGATAACAGTTTCTACCTACCAACAGCTCATTAGATGCAGGAGAGCCAACAACAGACAGAGAACACTACCAGTATAGCACCAGAAAACAAACAGAACCCAAATCAAAACTGGCCACCGATATGGGGAGTTCATTGAATGGCTTGCACCAAAATGTTTTGTGCTCACCTCAGAGCTTGATGGGTCTTCGCATCTGCCAGTTATCGTAAAATAGAAAGAGGTAGAGTTCCTTGTTCATACAGGAGTGGTGATTTCTCTGGTAGGTCTTATATACTCTATACAAAACTGCGACTTGGGTCCAGTGGCGTAGCAAGAGGGGGCGGGGCAGTCGCCCCCGGGCGCAAGTGTGAAGGGGCGCAAAATTTTCTCTGCCTTATAATGCCTATGAATTGATAATTATGCTCT